TTGTTTTATGTAATTAAAATATTTAATGTATGTTAATATTATTTATTAATGTAAATAATTTAAATTATGTAAATAAATTTAAAATAAAACATTTTGTACAAATATTTTACAATATATACACAAATATTTTTTAGAATTTATTTTTTATAATAAATAAACGTCTTTGAAATTTTATGCATTTATTAAACATCCTTGATATAAATTCAAAATTATTCTTGAATTCTATGAAATTATTAACTCCGTCTGATGTTATGGGAAACAAATCATCCGGAAATGTAACAAAATGATAAGGAATTTTAAAATTTAAATTGTAAATGAGACATGCTTTTACTTGAATTATATGCAATTATTATTTTGTCTGATTTTATGGTAAACAATTCATTCAGGATTTTAATGTAACAAAATGATAAGAAATTTTAATATTTAAATTTAAATTTGAAATGAGACATGTTTTTACTTGAAGTATATCTGTCCGATTTTATTGCACAACACATATTTAAATTTGAAATGAGACATATTTAAATTTTAATAGGTATGCTGACTTATTCAAGAAATTGTTTCATTCATAATATCTATTTTTTTTTTTTATCAATTCATTAAATCATGAGTGGGTAATTTTTTTTTGTTTAAGAATATTATGTGGCGTTATATTTTACTTTCTAGTATGCGAAATTAATTTGTTGTTGTTTACCTGAATATACTAACTCGAATTCCATTAGTCATTAACTCATGGAGGATAGGAAGGATAGTGTATGCGCTGTTTGTCCATTTCTTGAGAACATCGCTGCGAATATTCACATAAGAGTATTTTTAGCTAATTATTTAATTAGTTAGTATAATATATGTATATATATATATATAAGTATTTACACACACAATATATATAACATAATGATTATGAAAATAAGAAATAATTTATAAAATTAATTATAAAGATTAGGAAGTTACAACCACACCTGCAAGGTTTCCAATCATAGGGTATGCTCTTGGTGACATTGGCGTGAAGTGCCTTTTGAACCTCAGGTCTGTTGAGGTATGCATATACATAATTGTCGCTGCAGGGGTCAAAATTAAGTACCTGCATTGTCAATTAATTTTATAAATAATAATGATAAAAATAATGATATATGCAAAAAAAAAGAGTTTATTATGATTTATATATATATATATATGTATAGTATATTAATATATATTAATCCCATACTTACTGAAGCCTCCCTGCGCCTTGTGGTGAGGTTTGGATTGAGACACAATGGTGCATAGATATTATAAACATCAATTTCATTAATTATATGATAAACTCGATCCAAAATTTTATTGCATTTATCCGATGTTGTAGCGTTGGGAGAAAAATCACAATACTTCAAAATTTGATTCAATGTTTCATTAGAAATCAAAGCATGAGTTTGCCAATATTCAAACATCCCTAGTTTGTCAGTCTCATCGTTGATCGCAGCATTCCCAATCTGGTTACAATTAACGTAAGTATTAGTCAGTTATAATATGACAAGCATTACGCCAAACAAAAATTGATAAAAGGAGTTCGACAATATTGCCTACGTCAAATTTACTAAACTCACCAACAAAATACAACTAGGGTTTAAATAACCCACAAGTGTAAAAATATTATCTATAGTATACTCATTGTTTCGTAGTTAAATTTACTTTTGTAACAAGTGTAAAGTAATAGACTTCTTACAATTATCCCTTTCATATTGATAACAGTGTTTTTGGCCTTGTTGTGGTAGAGAATGGTCTGAGCCAACTGGGGCACATAATGCCCAGCATAACTTTCTCCGGCTAAATAAAAGTCCCTGTTCTTGTATTCTGGAAACCTCTCCAACCAGTTCAACAAAAACACATAATTATCAATAGCCGTTTCTTTGTCACCACCTTTCTCTACATCACTCTTGGTTTTTGAGTAAGAGAACCCAACCCCAGCCGGTGTCTCCAAAAACAACATATTTGCAGCTGGCGAGAGATCAAAATATCAACAAAAATAACGAAAATATGAATGTGAATTATGTATCGATTGTGGAAAAATGTTTAACATGGTAGCGTACCATGGTTCCATGAATATTCATTTTCATATAGTGTTTTTCCGTCACTGGAAACCCGAAATGGACCCAATTCCTCCATTGCTCCATAACCAAGAGAAGAACAACCAGGTCCTGCAACAAATTGATAATAAGTTAAACAAATTATCAAAATGTAGAAAGAAAGAAAGAAAGGCAGAAACACCTCCATTGAGCCAAAGAACAAGCGGCAATTTGCAAGATATTTTTGGATCAGCCTCAACAAAGTAGTAAAAGAGCGATCGTCCGGCAGCAACGTCTACGGTGACATATCCACCATACTGCTGGAAGGGAACTTGTGGTTGCCTGGGCAAATGTTCTATTAAGTCGTTCCTTTTTGACCCTTCCTGTGATAGAATTCGTTCTTTCGGGAAATCGGCAATAGGGCTGAAAGGCCTTCTGTCGATGTGTGTATTAGTTTTGAACTTGTGTTTGTATAAATGGAAAAGAGCTTCACTTTGGCTTTTCAGGGCGTTACTATTTGATGTGAGGCATGCAAAAGGAATCATAGAGAAAATAATGAGTCTTATATTTTCCATAGTTGGCTTCCTTTTTTTTTTCTATTATTTTAAATAATTTGGAAGAGAATGAAGAAAGAGATAAGAAGTTGATAGCATAGTTTTACAAGTATTTATAGGTGTGTTCTTAATGGGTCAAAAAGTCTAAAGAGTGATAAACTTTTTATTTTATTCTTTTTTTTTTTGTCCTTGTTGCACAATACTAGACAAATTTGACATGTCTTAAACTCTCAGCTACTGTCATATATTTCAATAAAAGATTTTATCTTACCCAAATTTAAAAAAAAAACTTTTTCACGCTTGGGTCACATAAAAAGATATGAAATTTTGGTTCATTCAATAAAAAACATATTTAGCTGCGCTTGCCGTGTAATCAGCCTCCGAACCGCCGAACTCCATCGGGATAGCCGCGAGAGTATCAAATACATTCTCCGAGCAATAGCCGAAATTAAGTTCCAGAGATCTGCCGAGTAAATCGAAGTTGTCACCGTATTCATCGGACGCTTGGCGATCCTACATGTTGACCTGGTCGACCGAAAAACCGACATTCACGATTTGGAGCTGATGAAAAACGAATTGTGGTTATGAAGGAGAATGATTTTTGCATATTTTTGGAAAGATTAATTGGGGGTTTGTTTTGGGTAATTTGATAATTTACGGGGAACTTATTACAATTTATTGATTTCACTATATTTCAATTTAGTAGAAGAGTCAAATATGTAGTTAAGAAAAAATCCAGGGACTTTGATGCAATTTCTAATATTTAAATATATTAGTATTTTTTTTTCAAAACGTTAGGAATATATTAGTATTCGTACTCACAAAATTTCAAGTAAATCGTAGTCCATTTCAAACGATATCTTTTCTTTTTTAGTATCTGAATTATATATTATTACAAAAAGTTATGATAAATAAATTATTATATTTTTGGGGAACTGAAAAGAAATCGAATGAGTTACTACAACTTCATATGTATTTACCATATTTTAAGGATTACTTTTGTAGGTTTCTCAAGGAGTATATAGATTATAGGCTAACTTGAAATCATGAAATTAGAAGAAACTAGTACTAATACCCATGTACAATACGTGTGTTGAGTTAATGAATATATGTGTATAGTTATTTATGTCTAATATCAAACCAAACTCTAGAGTAAAAATAAAATAAAAACAATATCAAGAAGCATAAATTTTCGTCATGTCAACATCTGAAGCGTGAGAATCTTCCACCTATGCTCAACACGTTTTGAATTAATATATATAAGGAGGGATTCTAGAAAAATTTGACATGTTCAGACTCTCAGCTACTGTCATATATTTCATTAAAATTTTTTATCTTTCCCAAATTAAAAAAAAATCATTTTCACGCTTGGGTCACATGAAAAGATATGAAATTTTGGTTCCATCAATAAAAAACATATTTAGCCGCGCTTGCCGTGTAATCAGCCTCCGAACTGCCGAACTCCATCGGGATAGCCGTGAGAGTATCAAATACATTCCGCCGAGCAATAGCCAAAATTAAGCTCCAGAGATCCACCGAGTAAATCGAAGTTGTCACCGTACTCGTCGGACGCTTGGCGATCCTACACGTTGACCTGGTTGACCGAAAAATCGACATTCACGATTTGGAGCTGATGAAAAACGAATTGTGGTGATGAAGGAGAATGATTTTTGCATATTTTAGGAAAGATTAATTGGGGGTTTGTTTTGGGTAATTTGATAATTTACGGAAAACTTACTACAATTTATTGATTTCACTATATTTCAATTTAGTAGAAGAGTTAAATATGTAGTTAAGAAAAAATCCAGGGACTTTGATGCAATTACAAAAATTTAAATATATTAGTATTTTTTTTCAAAACGTTAGGAATATATTAGTATTCGTACTCACAAAATTTCAAATCAATCGTAGTCCATTTCAAACGTTTTCTTTTCTTTTTTAGTATCCGAATTATATATTATTACAAAAAGTTATGATAAATAAATTATTATATTTTTGGGGAATTAAAAAAAATCAAATGAGTTACTACAAATTCATATGTATTTAGCATATTTTATGTATTACTTTTGTAGGTATCTCAAGGAGTATATAGATTATAGGCTAACTTGAAATCATGAAATTAGAAAAAACTAGTACTAATACCATGTACAATACGGGTGTTGAGTTGATGAATATATGTGTATATTTATTTATGTCTAATACCAAACCTAACTCTAGAGCAAAAATAATATAAGAAAAAAAATCACGAAGCATAGATTTTCGCCATGTCAACATCCGAAGCGTGAGAATCTGCCATCTAGGCTCAACACGTTTTAAATTAATATATAAGGAGGGATACTAGACAAATTTGACATGTTCAGACTCTCAGCTACTGTCATATATTTTAATAATAGATTTTACCTTTGCCAAATTAAAAAGAAAAAAAAATCACGCTTGGGTCACATAAAAAGATATGAAATTTTGGTTCCATCAATAAAAAACATATTTAGCCGCGCTTGCCGTGTAATCAGCCTCCGAACCGCCGAACTCCATCGGGATAGCTGTTTAATATAATATTGATGGGCAAGGGATAACCGAGCTACCCGACTCGGGTCGATCTCGAAGGAAGGCTATTCGAAGCTTTGTCTACTAAATGATCGTCCAAATCACAAAAAGGGGAAAATAAAGTCCTAAACATTCTAAGCAATCGATTGTGTGGTTGATTAACACTAATTGAGCACTTAAAAACAAGCAATTAATTGAAAGCAAGATCAGAAGGCGAGCATTTCGCAAACTAGATCACCGGAGTCTCATGCCATAACCAATACGAGATGATAATCAATCGAAATACGGAATAAACGAGCTACGAGCATTAGATTGCTAACCCTAGTCGTCTAACCGAGATCAACAAGTAATTAACGGCTCTATCTACTCAAGCAAGCAATCAAGTTCAAGCATTTCTACCATCATCAATCAAATCCAATTTACTCTAATGAACATTATAAGTAAAAATGGAGAAAAAACCGAAGTAAAGAGCTTTAAAACTAAATACTCAATCTCCCATTGCTAGACGATGAAAAACGGAGTCAAAAGCTCGAAACTTGAAAGAAACCGAAGTCGCCGGAAAATCTCCCAGAAAATGACATAAGCTCCTAATCTAGAGAGCAAAAATAAAACATAAACTAGTTTCCAAAAGAGGAAAAGTGAAAAATGAGAGTTGGATGTTCAAAATACAAAGGAACAAAAATATTTATAGTCCACACAAAACACACACTAAAACACGCAGATTAAAATAGGACACACTCGACCACGCTGTAAAATCCGCGAGCTCGCGGTGGTGATGTGCACGAAACGACACTCTCGAGCTCGCAAGCAAATTCGCGCGGTCGCGGACGCGCGCGGCGTGCAGGGCATCATTGCGTGCGTGGGCGTGCGGGCGTGTGCGGAACTCTCGATGTCGCTGGCAGATTCGCGCGGTCGAGGACGCGCGCATGAGGGACTCGCGTGGTCGAGGAGCTTTCCGCGTGGTCGCGAGTGTATGCTACGGCAGGGTTGCGCGGACTCTCGATCTCGCCAAGGTTTCCGCGAGGTAGCGGCGTGCGCGCGTTGCTGGGATGTGCACTCGCGACCTCGCGCTGCCATCCGCGAGCACGCGGGTCCTGCTGGGCATTGGGCAGCGGTAGTGCAGAGCGCGCGAGTGCATGTGCGGTCGCGGGGCAGCGTTTGGGCGTTGACTAAGGACGCGATATACTCGATTGATGATGGTTCGCCCGAAATGGCTCCAAATACTCGGAATTTACTTTGGAAAGCTCGCCTCGGAAATTAGCTTGACTCTTTCATTTCGCCCTCGAAACGAACCTGGAAAATTAAACCCAAAAATACGGAAAAGTACGCCAAAATACAAAATAAAAGATAAAACATAAAATCACACAAAATGCGACAAAATGGACTGGACGACACTAAAACGAACCTAAAACCGACTCAATAACACAAATAAACACATAAAAATAAGCACAAAAACATAACAAACAATAGCCGCGAGAGTGTCAAATACATTCCGCCGAGAAATAGCCGAAATTAAGCTCCAGAGATACGCCGAGTAAATCGAAGTTGTCACAGTACTCGTCGGACGCTTTGCGATCCTACATGTTGACCTGTCGACCAAAAACCGATATTCATGATTTGAAGCTGATGAAAAACAAATTGTGGTGAGGTAGGAGAATGATTTTTGCTTTTTTGGAAAGATTAATTGGGGTTTTTTTTTGGGTAATTTGATAATTTACGGGGAACTTATTACAATTTATTGATTTCACTATATTGCAATTTAGTAGAGGAGTCAAATATGTAGTTAAGAAAAAATCCAGGGACTTTGATGCAATTTCTAAAATTTAAATATATTAGTATTTGTTTTTCAAAACGTTAGGAATATATTAGTATTCGTACTTGTTGACATGGTTTTCGGTAAACTAGATTGTCGGGAGTTATTGACGTGAAGTCATGTAAATTTAAGAACCCTGATCCCACCAATTTCAAGTACCAGCACATCGGTTATAACGGGCACAAAACCGACATTGTTACTCGACATACAAACAGAAGAATCTCTACCCTCACCCGCCCGACCGACGTCTCTTAACAGCTGGAACCAGGTCAACCGACGTCCATGAGATATGAATATCATCATCCAAAGGCGGTGACAGCTCAGCGCCATCATTATGACCATTGTCCAGGTGGTGAACAACAAAAACAAGTGGCAGATGACCGCCTTTGACCTCGCCGCCGCATTAAATGCGATCACATCTACCTCGTACGGTGGGCACACTCTATAAATAGCAGGCTTGATCATTGAAAAAGGGACTTTTGGAAAACTTGGAAAAAATCTTGTAAAAACAACACTATTCAATATCATAGAACATGTATGAACACCGACGTCGACAACACACGAAACCGACATCTTTTCCTTTATATTCTCAATAAATCATCCCGTTTATCCTAATTCGAACTAAATAATCGTT